TCCTGTCGGGTAGATTACATTAGGCAATCCAACTTGTATGTGACCGTGCTTCTGCACCGGTCTTCACGTGATCGTAGTACTAGAGCATATTGATTACACCCAGTCCTGTTCGTGTCAGAAATTATTTGTTCAAACTCGTGTGTTAGCTTAGATGGATGAGCATTTAGCTATACTTGATTATCACATGATTTTATTACTGTGGCATTTATATATCATGACTTGGCATATTTCTGGTTATAATGCTGTTGTATTATTGTTTACATACTTACGTAGTATGTTTTAAGGAAACTATACTTGTTTTACGGCGAGGGGTTAGTATATTAAAAAAATAAAGGTTTTTACAAAACGTTGTTTTGCTGACCCACTCAACTTTGTTTTTCGCCCCTCCAGGTTTAGTAGATGTGCTTACATATAAACGAGGATTCTGGCAAATCTCAGGAGATGGTTATCATTAGTGGTATAACCCTCATCCTATTCATTATATTGTCTTATGCTCTAACATCACGTGTGAAAAGGGTTCAATCCCACTCACCCACGCGCTCCTTTGTTTAGGCACTTTTAGGTTTAAATTTATTCACATTCTTTTTCCACTACACTACACTTTATGGTTTCGTCACCCTCCAGGTGTCAGCCAGCACAACTTGATTCGGAGTCCAAGTGAGACTTTCCGGGTCGAGGTGTGTCAATTAAGTCATTAATTATTTATAGAATAAATATTTAAGATATTAATTATTTATAGAATAATATTTCAGGTATTAATTATTTATAGAATAAATATTTAAGGTATTAATTATTTATAGAATAATATTTCAGGTATTAATTATTTATAGAATAAATATTTAAAGTATTAATTATTTTCTGAATATTTGTTTGCAATTATAATATATATATATGTTTATGTAAACTTTATAATTACAAACATTCCATTCGTCGCTAAATATATTGCACGATGCTAGTTTCGTCGCATAAGATGACTTTGTGCGAAGCACGGTCAGATTCAAACCTTCCCATTTATTGTGCATTTATGACGCATTTTGCGTGACGAAAGCAAGGGTATCCTATATAAACACAGTTTTAGAACCCTAGTTTTCAAACAAAATTTCTTTAAAAAAGAATGGCCAATTCTCGATAAGGTTCTGGCAAAAAGAAACTTGTAGTGCAAATACAGAGGTATCGACGAAAGCGAGTGCCATACTTTGAAGGAAATAATATGGTTGAGGGCTACGTTGAATTTAGGTTTGACATTGGGAATTTGGTGCGAAGGGATTGTTCTACCAAGTTTGAGTCTTAGAAAAAGGTCATTGAGGAGTTGAAGAAGTTCATGCTGAGGGAGTTATCTGTAAGTTTGGAGTAAATAACGAACAATTATTTTTGTTAAAACATAATATTTTTTAAATTACTAATTTATTGTTATTGGCATTAATGTAGGTTCATTGGGATGTTGATAAAAGCGATGAGAAGCAACGAATTTATGTGGATGGGCTTTTCAAGTAGATTTTCTGGCAGTGGAAGTTTGATGTGTTGAGGGCGAGGGAGGATTGAAGTTGAGAAGGGTTGTTTTTTTTTTAAATAAGATTTTGTGGACGTTATATTTAATTTAATTAATAAATTTAAGTTATGTGGATGAGTATTAATATTTACATAATTATAATTTCTATTTGGGATAGTAAATTAGTTTTGTTAATTAATTTAATGTTTAATTAGGTTTCAGTTTTTTATTTATAAAAATAAAATTTACAATACATACAAACAAAATTGAAAAACATAAAAAAAAAATTAAAAAATATGCATTGCACGACAATATATGCTTTTGTCGCGCAATTTGTTGAAAAGAATAAATTATAAAATAAAGAAAATAAAATTTAAAAAAAATGGTAAACTTGCACGAAGAATGATTATTTTTGTCGCGCAAATTACATTTGTCCAAAGTGAACTTTTTAATCTGGATTCAACCATGTGCAGAGGCAAACCACAAAAAAAATTGTAGATTGTGCCTCTACACTCATCCCTTCGATTTTGCTCAATCTGGCATCCGTCATTTCCATTTTCTCTCAATTTCATCATCTAATACTCCCTCCATCATCTTCTCTAGGTTGATCAAGTTATCTCGGTGTGTCTGGTAAGCGTTTTTTTTAGGGTAAAAGTATTAATGTAAATTCATACTAACGCTATTAATTTCGTTGTCTATAGGGATATTGTGTGTGATTAGCGATTGGTGGAGAACGATTGAGAAGGTATTTTCTTTGATTTATTTTTAAAAAATATCAAATTAATTAAATTATGTTGAACTTAGTTTGCTATGTTTATATTGTGTTGTGAAATTATATGTTGTTAAATTTGTACGTGACATACAAATATGTGTTGTGATGTACGGAGTTAATTGAAATTAACTTTGTACTTGTTTTTTATTTTTAGTAAAACTTAGTTTCCCGTTCAAGGATTAGTTGGATTTCACGCATGGATATGAAAGCATGACATGCGATCCAATTAATTCTTGAATTGTCCCATTATTTGGACAGTTTGGGAATGCACAGTTATGGCGCGTAGTTTATGGTTGAAGGATTAGGTTTCAGTTGTGGAGATTTCGGTATCATCTCTGTACATTCTTCGGGTGGCACTTAGGTATTTTATTTCTATGTTGCACACCTAAAGAACTATACCGAGATGCTGTCGAAATTCATGACATGACTATGCATTCCCGAATGGGATAGGGCCCTTACCGGAGGCATAAGGTTACACTATCATTTGTATGAAGTTGTAGTGATTGTTGTATTGTTATTGTGGTTCCAGGAATTATGGACAAGACATGGATACAAAACCTGAATAGATGCGCGGACGAATACTTGGATGGAATCGAGGATTTTATTGACTTTACACGTACACACAACCCGGGTGCAACTAGAATCTGGTGTCCTTGTAGGAGGTGTAACAACACGTTAAGGGAGACAATTGAAAATGTTCGATTTCATTTAGTAAGGAACAAAATGATTGAGAGATATAATACTTGGAACCATCATGGGGAACAATTAGACAATGTTTCGTCTTCAAACGCCATAAGAGTGGACAATGTTGAACTTATTGTGGATCCTAATGAACAAGTCATGGATTTTATAAATGATGCTATTCCATTTGCATCAACAAACACCAATCAAGAAAAGGAAGATGACATGCCTACACCAATGGACAGTGCAGAGTTCGAACAATATGAAAAACTATTAAAAAAAGGCCAACCAAGAGTTATACCCGAGGTGCAAGAGCTTTTCCGTTCTCACGACCATTGTGGAACTAATGCACGAAAAAATAAAGTATCGTATGTTGAACCAATGTTTCGATTACTATTTGGGGGTTTTCAAGAGAATGCTTCTGAAGGACAATTGTTTGCCGAAAGACCATAGACATGCGCAAAAGGTGTTGAATAGTATTGGATTAGATTATGAAAAAAATCACGCTTGCAAAAACAATTGTATTTTATTCTACAAAGAGAATAAAGCATTGGATAAATGCCCTATATGCAATGAGTCGAGGTTCAAAATGACAGCTCAAAATAGAACGACTAAGATCCCACAAAAAGTCATGTGTTATCTACCCCTAAAACCTAGGTTGCAACGATTGTATATGTGGACGCATACTGCCACAGACTTGAGATGGCATAACAAAAAACTAGTAGACAACGATGTGATGAGGCATCCTGCAAATGGGGAGGCATGGAAAGAGTTCGATTGAATGTTCCCCGAGTTTTTTGATGATCCCCGAAATGTTAGATTAAGACTTGCCACTGACGGATTCAATCCGTTCAAGGTTCTAAACTAACACCATAGCACTTGGCCGATTTTCGTATTCCCATATAATTTGCCACATGGGAAATACATGAAAAAAGAAATACATGATGATGCTCTTTTGATAACTAAGGATCCTGGGAGGTCAATCGATGTTTACTTAAGGTCGTTGGTTCATGAGCTAAAGGATTTATGGACAAACGGTGTGTGCACATACAATAAGTACACTGGGAAGATGTTCACTTTATGGGCAGCAGTTATGTGGACTGTGACCGATTTTCCCGCATATGCAATACTTTATGGGTGGAACACTAAGGGTTATATGGCATGCCCTGTATGCAAGGATGATGTAACATCTGGATGGCACACCGGAAAAGTTTATTACCTTGATCATCAGAGATGGTTGCCATGGGACTACGAGTGATGAGAAAAGGATAAAGAGTTCGACGGGAACATAGAGCATCGCCTCAGACCTAGAGAATGGTTTAGTGATCATATTTTGGAACAGTTTAACCATTTGGATTTTGTTCCGTTCGGGAAAACAGTGAGTCGAACCAAACCTTCTACACATATGAATTGGACGAACAAGCCTATGTTTTTTGAGCTCCCATATTGGTCGAAACTAAAATTGAGACACAACCTCGACATTATGCATGTTGAGAAAAATTGTCTTTGACACATTGGTGGGCATCATTCTAGATATCGAGGGTAAGATAAAGGACACAATCAAAGCTCATCTTGATTTGGAAAGAATGGGCATACGGCGGGGTTTATGGATGAATAGGGACAGTCATAAATCCAAAAGGGATCTTGTGTTTTTTTCCATGAAACCAAATGACAAAAAAGAGTTTTTAAAGTTTGTATCGTCTGTAAAGTTTCTCAATTGGTATGCTTCAAATATTGCGCATTGCATGAATGTTGACGGGGGTAAATTTGTTGGACTAAAGAGTCATGACTGCCATGTGTTTATGCAACACCTACTTCATGTGGGTATTCAACACGTATTGCCAGAAGATGTAGTGAAGTCAATCATGTTGTTGTTGTCCAAATTTTTTTCCCAACTAACAGCAAGAACGTTGCAAAAGACGGACGTTAATCAATTACGACATGACATTGTCCAAGTCCTATGCAAGTTTAAGATGATATTTTTGAAATTTTTGGATCAATCATGCTTACGTGGGAAAGAAGAACAAGTTTGTGTATGGATCTGTCCCTGGAGAAACAATGCTCGCTGATGATCATTCAATACCAAAGTGTGCATGGGTGGTGAAGTTGGATCTAGATGTGTCTTCCGATGGGGGTGAGAGCATGGTGGCATGCAGGATGTACGGACCAAATTGCTACGACGGTGAGCCTTTCTTTGTTGCTAGAGAGCCGGAGAATCTAAACGCGAAGGAGGATGATGGATACGTGGTGTCATTTGTGCACGATGAGAAGACAAGAGAATCAAGGTTCTTAGTGATGGATGCTAAGTCGCAACAGCTTGATATTGTGGTGGTTTTCAAGCTGCCTCGCCGGATCCCGTACGGCTTCCATGGTCTCTTCGTGAAGGAAAGTGACCTACAAAAGTTGTACTAAATATAATTGGTGAATAGGATCTCACTAACAAAATAATATATGAGAGTTTACACATCTAATATTATCAAGATCTTTTATGATAAAACTCAACACCTATTAATAGATTTTTAAGTTAGTACAATATCGATGATGTTAGGCGAATCATGCTGGTCATATAAAATTTATCAAATATTACTATCTCAGCTTATCCACAAGTTTGTACATTCTATGACTGAGGGTTGGCTTCCATGAACTCTAGAAATGCACTTAATTATTGTTGTAGCAGATCGAATCCGAAATAAATTTGTTGATGCCAGCTGTTAGACGATGACACACCCCGACCCAGAGGATCAAGGCGTGCTGGCCGTCACGTGAGCGTGACGTAACCAAAAGTGCGACATGGAAGCAAGATATAACAGAATATGAAGGAATTCAAACCATCTCTAGTAGAACCACCTACTAGAATAAAAGGATGAGTTATAAGGTAAACACATAAATTCAGAGCATAGGTTTAAGTGCAGTCAAGTAGGACCAAAATAAAAATACATCACCCACAGGTGAGTCCTACATGCAGAACGTCTGTCAGAATGCCGAAAAAGACCCCGAGAGCCACCAACCGCTAACTAGAACCTGGAGGGGCGCAAAACAAAGATGAGTGGGTCAGTAAAATAAAAGATTTTCCAAAACATTTCATTTAAAACATTTCTAACCCCTCACCGTAAAACCTGTATACTTTCCCAGAAAAATAGTATATAAACATATATATACACATATCATCAAAACTCAGCTCATATCCATCAACAGAACATCTCAGAAATAATATGCCACGCCATGCCAAATATAATCAGAAATGCATCAATATCAATTAGGTGAAATAATAAATCAACCGGAGACCCTACAATAGTCCTGTACGGCTGATTCTAAAGCTCAACATCCCACTCAGCCGGAGTCACCACAGTGACCTATACGGCCCTGCCGGAGTCACCAACTGTGACCTGTACGGCACTACACTGCACATCACTCGGAACTACGTATAGTAGTCTGTACGATGAAAGGTGTATAAATACGCTCTAGTGCTTCTTTCATCAATCATCAGCGCGCATAACTAAGGTCACCCACTAGTCGGAATCACATCTAGTGATCTATACGACTAGCATGTCGGAACCCTCACATGGTCTGTACGACATCCACCTACTTGGATCCAAGACGAGCGTGCGGTGTGGTGAATAATAATATAAGAACTAACACCTAGGGTGGAGGTTATGAGCTTTCAATGCAATTCTCACAAAATAACTCATCTGAATAATATAAAAGCTCAACTGTGCGTCCACCGCGTCAATTAACATATATATGCATCAATTATCAAACTAAATATCTCAACATTTGCATTCATGGCAATTTAAATCATAATTTTCATATAAACGCATTTTCTGGGAAAAACAGTTGTATATAGGTAATACGAAAACAAAACTGCCCACTCACTGATAAGTCGATGGGTCGTAACCCCCGTGACGTCCCTGGATGCGCTCGTCCTCGGTATAAGTGTCACCTATATGCGAAACAACTATAAAAACGTTAATTTAAACACATAACCAACAATTCGAAATAACTTCTCATACGATGCTCAAATTGGGTATATGAATATACCACATCGACCTACTCAACGTCACGGACGTCGAGAAATTTTTAGATTAGTTTTTTGGTGTCGCACGCGCCCCCACGCTCCAGGGAACGCACGGACACACGCACCTCCATGCGCGTCATCTTCCCCAGCCAGTCGCCGGACTGGTTTTTCCGGTGGCCGGATTCCGGCGAGTTTTAAAACTTCTTGTTCTCCTTCGTTTCTCAACCGTTTTCTTCGTATTTTATACCAAAATGAAGCCCCAAACATGTAGAATCACGATACACTATTTTTAAGCTCCAAAAACAACTAAATCTCACCGGAAAAAATCCAAGCAAAACCGGCCAACTTTGAACGTGGTGATCCCGACGTCCAAAACTTCCAAACGAACGTCCCCGAGCTTCCTTGGGACCTCCCTAAGCTCACTATAAGCTTGGATTGACCTAAAAATCAACCAACACCAAGTTCATGAACAGTGCCAAAATCGGTGCTTATGGTTTCGACGTGAAATCGAAAGATTTCTTACCTGAAATGGGTGTGGTTGAGTTCGTAGAGTCCTCACGAGCACGATGGTGTCTTCAAAATCCTCGATCTATGAAGTTTCAGGGGGTTTTGGTGTTGGTCCATACTATCGGGGTGAGAGAGAGAGTGAGAGCCGTGAGGGAGGAGAGAGAGAGACACGGGAAAGAGGGGGAGGAAAAGGGAAATGTCCCGAGGGTGTGTGTGTGGTCTCCAAACAAACCCAACATCAAACCCTAACCACACAAATTTACAAAACCATTAATTTTAATCCATCCCAACTTAAATATATTTTTTCCAAAACTTATTTAAAGTTAATCCAAATAACGTCACACACACACATACCTTAATACCTGCTAAGGGTAAATCTGTCATTTCACGTCCCCGACATTAAAAGTTCAGGACGGGCTGTGACAATCTCCCCTCCTTATAGAATTTCATCCCCGAAATTCCCATAACCAATTAAACCACTTAATACCCATAGAATAATCTTGGGTACATCTCTCTCATACGATTTTCTGTCTCCTAGGTAGCTTCTTCTACGGAATGGTTCCTCCACAACACCTTCACCAAACTCACCGTCTTGTTTCTTAAAACCTTATCTTTCCAATCCAAGATAGTGACTGGTTCCTCATCATATGTGAAATCCGGATTAATCTCTAGCGGTTGAGGAGGGATCACATGAGAACGATCAGAAATATAATGTCGAAGCATAGAGATGTGGAACACATTATGGACCTTAGATAATTCCGGAGGTAACTCCAACCGATAGGCAACTTCACCAACTCTTTCAGTGATCACATAGGGTCCAATGTATCTCGGACTTAGCTTCCCTCTTTTTCCAAATCGTACCACACCTTTCCAAGGTGACAATTTCAAAAATACCCAATCGCCCACATTATACACTCGATCAGTGGCATGTCGATCTGCTAAACTCTTATGTCGATCCTGGGCTGCTTTCAGGTTAGACTTAATCACCTGAATATTTTGAGTAGTCTCATCCACAATCTCTGGGCCTTCTAACACTCTTTCACCAACCTCAGACCAACACAATGGCGTACGACATGCCCTACCATAAAGTGCCTCAAATGGTGACATACCAATGCTCGAGTGAAAACTATTATTGTAGGCAAATTCCATCAAGTCGAGGCGATCATGCCAGGAATCACCAAATTGTAACACTGAAGATCTCAACATATCCTCCAACATCTGAATCGTCCTCTCTGATTGCCCATCAGTTTGAGGATGTTAAGCAGTGCTGTAAAGCAATTGCGTACCAAGAGCTTCCTGAAAAGCTACCCAAAATTTAGAAGTAAATCTTGGGTCTCGATCAGAAATAATATTCACTGGAACTCCATGATACTTCACAATCTTCGTAATGAACAACCTAGCCAATTTATTCAGAGGATACTTCTCCCTCACTGGAATGAAATGCGCTGACTTGGTAAGTCGATCCACAATCACCCAAATACCATCAAATCCGTTTCGTGTACGAGGAAGTTTATACACGAAATCCATGGTTATATTTTCCCATTTCCACTGGGGAACGGGAAGTGGCTGCATTCGCCCAAAAGGCTTCTTTCTTTCTGCTTTAACTTGCTGGCAAATAATACATCTACTCACATACTCAGCAATTTCCCTTTTCATACCCGGCCAATAATAAAATGGTCGAATGGTATGATACATCTTAGTGCCTCCCGGGTGCATCGCATAAGCTGAACAATGCGCTTCATCCAATATTTCCTTCTTTAATTCCTCATTATTCGGAACATACATTCTATTTTCCTGCATAAGCATACCATCTGATTCCCGAATCCTGAGGTCTTTCTTTTTCCCTTCACTTCTTAACTGAACCATTTCTTGAATTTCCTCATCCACCATCTGAGCTTCGAGTATACGATCAACCAAAACTGGCCTGACTTGAAAACTAGCAAGAAAGGCTCCACTTCGATCTTTCAACTCCAACTTTACTCCAGTTGCCCTCAGTTCAGCAAGAAGAGGAACACGGCTAGCATATAAGGCATTGAGTCTACCTTGAGGTTTCCTACTCAGTGCGTCAGCCACCACATTAGCATGACCCGGATGATACTCGATAGTACAGTCATAATCACTTAACAATTCCATCCACCTTCGCTGACGAAGATTAAGATCATGCTGAGTAAACAGATACTGAAGACTCTTGTGATCAGTGAAGATCTTACACTTCTCACCATATAAATAATGCCTCCAAATCTTCAAAGCAAAGACAATGGCTGCTAACTCAAGATCGTGAGTGGGATAGTTCCTTTCATGATTTTTCAACTGTCGAGAAGCATAAGCAATCACTCAATTATGCTGCATCAAAACACATCCCAAACCATTCAAGGAAGCATCACTATAAATCTCAAAATTACCGCTATCATCAGGAAGTACCAATACCGGAGCATGAGTGAGGCAATATTTCAATTGCTAGAAACTCCGCTCACAATTCTCATCCCACTCAAATTTAACATCCTTGCTTGTCAACTTCGTTAACGGCAAAGCAGTCATAGAAAAATCTTGAACAAACCGTCGGTAATAACCTGTTAAACCAAGAAAACTTCGTACCTCAGTGACAGTTCGAGGTTGCTCCCAATTCTCCACCGCCGCTATCTTTTGAGGATCAACTTGGATTCCTTGAGCCGATATAACATGCCCCAAAAATGCCACTTCAGTCAACCAAATTTGACATTTACTGAACTTAGCATACAACTGATGCTCCCTCAATTTCTTTAACACCAAGTTAAGATGTCGGATATGATCTGCTTTAGATTTAGAGTATACCAGAATATCATCAATAAAAACAATAACAAATTTATCAAGATATTGCTGGAATACCTCATTCATCAACCTCATGAAAGCT